AACCAGATTGGTAATTTAGGAAGAATAAACAGAAACGCATCAATGAGCACCTCCCATTTTTCTCTTGGGAGACAATTTCCCCTTAGGAGGTACATATCATCCTCTACTGGTCCTACAGGGTCAGGTGCTCCTCCCACACAGCCCAGTCTAACCTCGCCTATAAATGGGCATGTAAATCTGCCCATATCAGGAGTTCAACAAAAAGGGTGTTTGCTTGTAGATAGATATAATCAAATCTCCCAACCTAGACTTGATTAGGAAAGAAGGAGATATTTTGGCCTCCATCTCTCTTAGTCTTTGTCTTACTCCCATTGGTTCAGAACCAAACCAGTAAAACCAAACCAAACATTATTGGTCTATTATAAGAGACCCCAACATTACCTGTAATTGGTTCCTTAGAAAAGGCACTTAAATTAAGGTCCTGACTCTTGAAATACTCAAGAGTAGAGGTTTCCACTTTCATTAATTAAAAGATATGTTTTCTAGGAACTGCAAATATTTAAATTCTTCAAAAACATATCAAAAGAAAACCCAAGCAATATCTTTCTGTTGTGTTCCTAGGTCTTTGTAAGGTATAATTACATTGATAGAATATTTGTAAGATGAAAGGAAGATTTCTCTATGAACAGCTGGGTTTTCAAAACAAAACAAACACAAAATGGGTACTTTCTTTTATTCCTCTAAGTTCTAGCTCTATACTTAGAACCACTCATATCCCAACTAGATCAAAAGCCAATCACCAGAGGAAGAGAAATATGTCAACTATAAATAAGTACAGAGATTCTCAACCTTATTGTCATCAAAGAAAAAGCATCACAAGGGACTCTGAGTCTTTGGGTGAACACAAATCTGCTTAGGCATAGGGTAAAAGTCCACAAGGTTGGGCAAAGAGCAAGTGACAAGGTAAAGAACATTAAAGAGAAAGTATAAGCTGAGTATTTTCCAGAATTCATGCAGAGCTACCCATTGATTGGTTCCCACCAGCCAAAATGGAGAAATCTCATTGAATATGGGGCTCATTTAACAGACATCTCCAAAGACTCTTTAATAGTAAAACTTTCCTAGATCTAAACAAAAAGCTACCCTAAACAAACCATAAAAATGTTTTGAAATGAACTGAGTAATGTACAGAATTGTTGAATCACTACATTATACACCTGAGACTATATAACACTGTATGTTAATTATACTGAAATTTTTTAAAAAATGTGTTAGAATGAGCCTGAAAAAGATTAAACTGATCTACAAGTAACATAACTATCAGACCAAAAAACTTTCAAAAGCATTTAAAGAAGGCAATAAAACCCACTCAACTATACATTTATAATGTCCAGCATTCAATTTTTAAAAATCACTGTACATGTGAAGGAAAAAAATGGAAACAAGAGGAAAATCAGTCAATAGAAACAGACTCAGAAATGACAGAGATAACAGAATATCAAATATTTTAAAACAGCTACTATAAATACTATAATATATGCACAAGAATCTAAAAAATCATGGAAATAATGGGGAAAAAAACAAAAAGAAGATACAAACAGAGAATGGATTCTGAAGTTGAAAAATAAAGTAACTGAAATGAACATTTCACTGGAAGGAATTAATAGAAGATTTGAGACTGCAGACAAAAAGATGAATGAATTTAGAAACAGAGAAACAGAAAATCATCCAAAGTAAAGAAAGAAAAAGAGTCTTAAAAAAATGAGCAGAGCCAGACTTATAGTATAGTATCAACCAATTAACAGGTAACCAGAGTCCCAAAAGGAGAAAGGAAAGGAAGGAAATAGAAAAAAAAAAATATTTGAAGCAATAATGGCCAAAAGTTTTCCAAATTTGATGAAAACTATAAGCCCACAGACCAAGAAGCTCAACAAATCCAAGTAGAAGAAACATGAAGAAAATGACACCAAGGCATATATAGCATAATCAAACTGTTGAAAATGGGCCATAAAGAAATAATCTTAAAAGCAGGCTGAGGGGGAAAAAGACACATTATGCACAGAAAAACAAAAATAAGAATTACCACATGCTTCTTGTCAGAAAAATGCAAGCCAAAAGATAATGGAACATTTTTCAAGTGCTAGGAAAAAAAGAATATCCAGAATATATAAAGAGTTCTCACAACTTAATTATAAGAAAACAAATAACCTCATTTAAAAATGGGTAAAATATTTGATCTTGATCAAAGACATACAAAGAACAAATAAGCACATGAAAAGATGCTCAACATTAGTCATTATGGAAAAATGCAAATTAAACCATCTGTGCTATCGCTACACATCACCTCAGGAGTTAAAATTAAATTGACCACACCAATTGTTGGTGAGAATGTGGAGGAACTGGAACTCTCATACACTTATTATGGGAATGTAACATGGTACAACCACTCTAGAAAACCGTGTGGCAGTTTCTTAAAAAGTTAAACATAAACACAACATGATCCAATCATTCCACAAATAGGTATTTACCCAAGAGAAGTGAAAGTACATGTCCATACAAAAATTTGTATATAAACATTCAAAGAAGCCTTATTTGTAATAATCAAAAACTGCAAACCAAAATGCCCATCACCAGATGAACAATAAACAAATTCTGGGCTATGCCTATAACAGAACACTACTCAACAATAAAAAGGAATTAAACCACTGATACATGATACAACATGTGTTAATCTAAAAATAATTTTAATAATAATAAAGTAAAAAAAATGACCCAACAAGTAAGAGAAAAACCTGTAGACCTATATTAAATGCCAGGAAATGCAGATTAATCTTCGTAACAGAAAGCACATCATCGCTGCCTGGTGACAGGGATAGGCAGGGAAGGGCTGGGAGGGGCAGGTGAGAGGAATTACAAAGAGGCACAAGAAGACTTTTAGAGGTTATGGATATGTTCGTTATGTTGATTTTGTGGTAGTTTCACAGATATATACCTATGTTAAAACTTACCATATTATACACTTTAAATATATAAAGTTTATAACTCAATAAAGCTGTTTAAAAAATTACATTTATAATACCATTCAAAAGCATGAAATACTAAGTAATGAATTTAAAAAAAAACATACTCAAGACCTTTACACTGAAAACTATAAAACACTGCTAAGAAAAATAGAAGAAGATGTAAATAAGTGCACTTGTCATGATAAACACTGAATGGTGTATGGAACTGTTGAATCACTACATTGTACATCTGAAACCAATAATGACACTGTATGCTAACTAACTGGAATTGAAATAAAAACTTAAAAAGTTAAAAAAAAAAAAGACAACCTAAATAAATGGAGATATATCATGTTCATGGATTGGAAAATTCAGTATTGTTAAAATGTCCACTGTCCCAAAATTAATCTATATACTCAATGCAATCCCAATCAAAAGCCAACAGGCTTTTGTGTAGAAATTGATGAGCGAATTCTAAAATGTCTGGGGAAATACAAAGGACACAGTAGTCAAAATACTTTTATTTATTTATTTATAGTCAAAATACTTAAAAAAAAAGTTGGAAGACTTACACTACCTAATTTCAAGACTTAATATAAAGCTATAGTGACTGAGACAGATTAATTAGTGAAACTGAATAAAGTCCAGAAAGAGACCCACACATATACTTGAACTAATTTTCAACAAAGGTGCCAAGGTAATTCAATAGGGTAATTTCAACAAATGGTGCTGAAATAAATGTATATTATATGAAAAGAAATGAACCTCAACCCTTACTTCACACCATACACAAAAATTAAATCAATACTATCCCAGAACAAAATATAAAAGCTAAACTTATAAAACTTTTAGAAGAAAACATAAGAGAAAAAGCTTTATGACGCTAGGGTTGGCAAAAAGTTCTTAGATAGGAAACACAGAATGCATAAATCTTTTAAAAATTGACTTCACTGAAATTTAAAACTTCTGTTCTTTAAAAATCACCATTATCGGGGCGCCTGGGTGGCTCAGTCATTAAGCGTCTGCCTTTGGCTCAGGTCATGATCCCAGGGTCCTGGGATCGAGCCCTGCATCGGGCTCCCGGCTCAGTGGAAAGCCTGCTTCTCCCTCTCCCACTCCCCCTGCTTGTGTTCCCTCTCTCTCTATGTCTCTATCAAAAAAATAAATAAAATCTTTAAAATAAATACATAAATAAATAAAAATCACCATTATAGAAATGAAAAAACTTGGGGCACCTAGGTGGTTCAGCCGGTTAAGCGTCTGACTTCAGCTCAGGTCATAATCTCGGGGTCCTAGGATCGAGCCCTGCCCTATATAGGGCTCTGCACTCAGCAGGGAGTCTGCTTCTCCCTCTCCCTTTCCCTTTGCCCCTCCCCCTGTTTGTGCACTCTCTCAAATAAATAAAATCTTAAGAAAAAAAAAAAGAAATGAAAAAGCTAGCCACAGACTTGGAGAAGATATTAATATTCTCAATATAAATATCTAAGAAAGGACTTGTATCAAGAGCCCTTTATAACACAATAACAAAAAAATAAAAATCCTAAATTTAATATGGAAAAAAAGAAGACAGACAAATGGCCAATAGTGCATGAAGGCTCAATATCATTATTCATCAGAGAAAAGCAAATTAAAACCAGAGAGATACACTACATGCCCACTAGAATGTCTTAAAATTAAAAAGCCTGACAATACCAAGTGTTGACAAAGAGGAGGAGCAACTAGAACTCTCATACACTCTTGGTAAAATGTAAAATGGTACTATAACTTACTTTATTTTCAAATCAAGATAATGATGATCATAAAATTTTTACAAGTGTCTAACCCGGGTTAAGGGGCTATTACAAAGGAGGTGGGTGATTTTTTTAAAAGGAATAATGCACAGGTAGATTAAATTACTGTTAATGCTCTAGTTATTGGGTTGGGTAATACTCACACCACTATAAATAAATACACAAAGTAAGAAAGACACAAATGGAAAGCAATGATGACACTGTGTCACAATTAACCCAATTCTGTGGACCTGAGGCACAGATAAAAAAAAAAAGGTAGTCACCTCACCCATATATTTCCCACGTCTCTGATGTAGGGAATATGCGAATAAATCCACCTCTCCGATCATTTTCTTCCTTCACTCTCCGTAAAACTTTGATCTATATAAAGAGAAAATCAAGTAAGTACCCATTTTGAAAACTGTAATCCATGTGTTTATAGGGCAGAGGAAGAGAGTTACAACCCACAAATATGAAAGAAGCATGAAGGGAGAAATTAATTCCATTTAAGATGCTATTTTCTGAGAACAAGTTTCTCCCATCTTGAATCTTTCTCTTTTCAGTGTAAGATATAAGGTGGTCATCAACATTGTAAATCACTCACTAATGTTCACTGAACCCTGTGTTAGCCCACAAAAGCCTGAAATGGAGTTATCTTTACCTCCTCCATTGACAGACCAAGCACAGAACCACCTAACTTCCCCGGCACCTTCTCTCGGGCTGAGCCCACAAGGTTTTTCATTTCCGCATCACTGGCAGAGAGTGGACGGGAACGCTAAGGAGAAGGAAAAACAGAAACAAACAAAATGTTTCCATCATCTTTCTTCATTTGTCTCTATTCAGTCCCTCAACATCATTATCTTTCCTATTATGGATAAGCTCAAACCCAAAGCCCATTTTCTGTAATTACTCTCTTAGCCTGAAACCCTGGGAAATAAATGAAAGCTAGCAGACTCAAAGGCAAGAAGAGAAAACGGAATAGAAGAAAAACACTATGGGTTGAGAAGAAAACAAGAAGAAAAACAAGAAAGATGTCCACATGACTTTCTAATCCAGTACTTAATCCTAACCCTGGTTTTAGAGGACTTCTGACATTTTCAAAGATATCTGAAAATCTGAAATCTGAAAATAACCACCATATAAGATTAAATGTGTATTTATTTCAGTAAATAACGATATTCTTTACAGCAGTGGGGAAGGGGAGTTAGGAGAAATGAGACATAAGACAGAAAACCAAGGAACAATCTATTATGTCACAGGTGAAAACTGGGCCATGAGATGTTTTAGAACTCTGGTATGGGGGAGGGGATGGAAATTGAGGTTAATAGTCATCAGTGACACAGAAAAGAGCTGTGACCAAAAGAAACACTGTAGCTGCTGGGGACTTCAAGAAACCTGATCAAGGACCACATTGCCCTGGGCACTCCAAGGAGGCAGCCAAATGGGCCACGCTCCTCACAGTCTTCTGAACGGGGATCACAAAGGTCATCTACAATGAAAGTTTTAAGTAATTTTGATGTTACGTGAGCAAAGAAATATAAAGGTAACAAAGGAAGTCAGATGGTATAAAGCATGTGAACACACTATCACTGAAAGAGATAAAGTGACTGATAAGACAAGTATATCTGCCAACAGAAAGAATAAGCAGTAACTCAAGAAATGTGCATGCAAATTGTCTTTCTAAATTCCTAGAACTAACTATGATGAGAGAAAAGCAGTCCTATTGTCAGGAACTACTGTTTATTTTTCTCTTTGCGTACACTGCCTATGGAAAAACTTTCAACCTTCTCAGCAATACTCACTGTTACAGACTGTTTATGTCCCTCCACAAATTCATATGTTCAAGCCCTAACCCCCAGTTTGATGGTATTTGGACATGGGGCTTTTAGGAGGTAATCAGGATTAAAGGAGGTCATGAGGGTGAGACTCTGGCCTGATGAAATTAATGCCCTTAAAAGAAGAGGCATCAGAGAGCTGTACTCTCTCTCTCTCTGCCCGACCATGTACAAAGAGGTCATGTGAGCACAGAGCAAGATGGCAGTTATCTACAAGCCAAGAACAGAGACCTCAGAATGAAACCTGCCTTGCTGGCACCTTGATCTTGGGACTTCCCAGCCTCCAGAACTGTGAGGAATAAGTTTCTGTGGTTTAAATCACCAAGTCTATGGTACTTGGTTATGGTAGCCCAAGGCAGACTAACAATACACACTCGTACACATCATGAATGCTTTTACCTTTGACACAAGGGAGACCAATACATACTAATCTTCAAAGCTAGCATGGGAGTTATAAAAGATAGATTTCCTGATAGCCAACTCCATGATGAGATACCTTTATAGCGAAAAACCATGAAATCAGCAGATATAAGCAACACGGAAAGGCAAGGACTTTTACTTGTTTAGCTTTCCCTGTGGTATCTTCAGCACCCAGAACAGTACTTGGCATGGAGGAGGAGATCAATAAATATTTGATGAAGAAGTAAGTAAATGAATGAATGTGCTGACATGCAGATTAATCATAGTTAGAACTGAACTTTGCAGAGGATTTGGGGGAAAAATTTAATTCCTTTCCAATCTGTGGGAATGCATTAAGCAGTACATGTTGGGATGAGAGGGGAATCAAGGTGAAACTTTAAAGATTTAGGAAGGGAATCACATAAGTAATATGATCTTTTCAAACAATTTTAAAGTGCAAACACTTATTTAGTGACAATTTAGTAAAGCCAAAATATTAACTGGATGCTTTAAGGACTTTTCTCATTTCACACACCACTTATCGTTGGTTAAAAATACTTTATTTCACATGTGATGACATGGCTCTAATCAGAAAGCTACTGGCAGTCAAGTGCCTTATCCAAGGTCAAGTTGCCTCATCACTCACACTATTTACAAGTACCTTAAAGTCCTCTGAAATTATGTAAGAGAGAATATGAAGTAAGCACTCATTTAAATGATATAATAGAAATAAAGATTAAACATTTTAGAATAGAAAAACTTATTTAAAATGTTGATAAGCTAAAATCTGTATTAAAGGTTAGTAATAAAAATATTTTAGGAAATAGTTATTAGCTATTAGAACAGTTTTAAGAAAAACATGGTTGGGGTGCCTGGGTGGCACAGTCGGTTAAGTGTCTGACTCTTGGTTTTGGCTCAGGTCGTGATCTCAGGGTCATAAGATCAAGCCCCCCATCAGGCTCTGCGCTCCACATGGAGTCTCACTGAGATTCTCTCTTCCCCTCCCGCTCATGCTCACGCTTTCTCTAAAATAAAATAAATAAATCTCTAAAAAATAAAAAAGAAAGAAATGCATGGTCATATTTGCAAGAACATGGATCAAATCACTATTGAATAACATCTAATTGGCACCCCCAATTTTTGTTCTTTAAATTTTTTTTTCTTTTTGTTTTTTGTCTTTCTTTTGTTTTTGTTTTTCATTTTCTTGTCTGTTTTTTTTTTATTATTGGTTTTGTCATTTTATTTTTCTTTTTGATCTTATGATCTTTTTTTTTTTTTTTCTTTTTTAGGACCTAATTTTCATCTTGTGGAATTGCTCTGAGATGGAACAATACTCCTGGCTTCCAGTGACTGAGATTACAATGATGTTGCCACCTTCCTCTACTAATCTAAACCTGCTCCTAGAAACACTGAACTAACACCCCCAAAATTCTCAGTCTTCTCTCCCAAGTCACTTTCAAAGAGTTGTCTCCATACAGGTTCACAAACACTCCTTTGTTATGCACAGCCCACAGTTCTAACTCTAGCCACTTGTGCATGCATGTGGGCTGTCTAGGTGAGGCATGGAAGAATTCAGGAGATGCTCCTGGCTGGGGCCTTTGGGAGGTTTGAAAATGGAAGGGGCTGAGGGGTAATGGTGTTTGTTAGGTGAGCGCTCTAGCTGTGAACTCCCATAAGCTGATGACTTTACTCTTTTATTGCCACAAATATCACCAGGCTGCAAAGAAAAAGGTCAACGTGCTCCAAGAGGTAAAAAAGATAGCTAGAAACTCCTTTTAACTCTTCACCTATTTACCTCAAACTAAACTATTAAGAAGGCTGAGAGGGAGAGAGATGTGCAAGTTGTAGCTACTGTTGTCTATGTATCTCAGATGCCTCTCTAAAATCCACCCAGGTCTCCTATGTCTTCGGGGAAGCTGCTGAAAAATATCAGACTAGAAAGTCAGAAGTATTTTGCCAATCTCAGCTTTTCAATAAATTTGAGATTAGAGGGGCGCCTGGGTGGCTCAGTTGGTTAAGCGACTGCCTTCGGCTCAGGTCATGATCCTGGAGTCCCGGGATCGAGTCCCGCATCGGGCTCCCTGCTCGGCAGGGAGTCTGCTTCTCCCTCTGACCCTCCTCCCTCTCATGCTCTCTGTCTCTCATTCTCGCTCTCGCAAGTAGATAAAATCTTAAAAAAAAAAAGAAAAAAAAAATTTGAGATTAGAGAGAATGTTCTTGATCAGCATAATATCTGCTGTACTGGTCTACAGAGACATGTGTCTACACAGGTACAACACAGTACTATCGTCATAGACAACTGGTTGAATCCTACCAACATTTGTTAATGAGATGAACTATTAAGAAATGTGACCTGAATTATAGACACAGGTGAGAGAAAAGGCAGAGAAAAAGGGGGAGAAGAAAGGATAACAAAGAAAAAAGAAAGAAAGGAGATAGAAATGCTTATGAGTGCCAAGAAGACATACCTGGAGATTAAAAGCAAAGCCAAAAAAAAAGGAAATCAGACTGATTTGGAAGGCCATCAGGACTGCCCAAAACAAGAGCAAAACACTCCAAGTGCAAGCCATTCTGTGATTTTGATCTCGTGCATTTATCAGCGCAGGGAACTGACTGAATGCACTAAGGAAATAAAGTTCCTCTGAATTTAGAGAGAACCATTGCCTCTGTCTAGATGACACAGGATTTTAACTACTGGGTGCTCAGATAGATTTTAAACCACCAAATTATTGCCTAGAGGTCAGAATTCTGCCATGCAACATGCATCAAAGATATAAAATTATCATTAGTACAACTTATGATTTAGAAACAGACCCAGAGAAGAAAGCTTTACACATCTAACCTTTATTACTAGGGAAGAACTGACTGAGAATGTGAAATCGTTGAAATGAGGAACACACCTGTCGCCACTAAAAGTAGTAAAAAACAGATGTTGAATCAGAAAAATGATTCTCAGCCTAAAGAAAGCTGGCAGGTACCAGCACTGAGAAGAACTGAACAAAACACAGAATATGAAAAAGGTGAGATATCATAAAAGATACAATCATAATTGAGGGGCAAGAATAAAACCTGTTTGACAGAGAACATATACAAGGAATAAAAATGTCCTAATGTAGTTTTACAAAGTTTGGAATTCTATGTTAGAAACAAATTAACAAGAAATAGCTCAATTTGTATGTGACACATCTTGCCACCTTTAAACTGGTAAAATCCAGTTTAAAAAGCAAAATGAATTAATGCTATCAAATGAAATAAAAGGAACAAAAAGGACCACAAACGAATAAATCAGGTGGGAAATAAACAAAAAATGGCTATAGAGAAGGTCCAAATGTAATTGATAACCAGAAATATATTCTGAAATCAGGGGAGGGAAAAAAAAAAAAGAAAGTAAGTAGACTTGTGTTACAGTCAAAAAGAGATATGCAACATCTGGAAATTTGGGATAAATATAAGTCAGCCGGTCTGAGAGACATGCATCTTGTTATTAAGGGAACTGGCTCTAAAAAACAAAACAAAAAACTTACCAAAACCACTTACAATC